TTTTCTATTCTCATTCGCCCTCATCAGCAAAGTTAATACAAAGGAAAGCGGTACAGCCCAGCTCAGAAATCAAACAAGAACAACAGGGGTCAATGAACCCAGACATTCCCGAGTCAACAGCCGAGAGTTGATGCGATGATAAACTCCAAGAACAATGAATCTAATCATCGTCAGCGATGTCAGATAATATCATTGTCATGAGAAATTACTGTTGTTTTGGGTAGAAAAACCAATACTAGCCAGTGCCATTTGAAAGCAAACTCGATAATGCTAAGAGTACATTTGGTAGCTGGATTCCTTGCTGTGTGCTTGCTATAAATGTATTCTTTTCTTCTCTGCTAGTCTATGGATTTTTCTATGTACTTGTTTCTCCTTACTCTGTTGTTCAAAATGAATAACTTGAATAAGTGTAGTTTAAACATCTATTTTATAAGGCCTATATTCACGTTAGTTTTGAACTTCGGAGCTTCGTAACAACTGAATTAAAGAAAACAACCGCCACCACCACCACCACCATCACAATCATCATCATCATCATCATCCTCATCATCAAGCTTATTGTTCTGATTCCACTACATGTACTTTCGTCTCGCTGATCCTGTTGTCAACGAGGAAAGTAGTACAACAGACTCCGGGAAAACAAAAGTTTTGCCTTATCCTGCACAACGCGTCCACCCATGAGTGAGGGTTAAAGTGTGTACTCGTGTCTACGAGAGAGTGAGTACGTTCTTGCGTGAGTGTAAGTTTGCGCGAGTCTCTGTATTTATTTTTGTCCAAAACGTTGTGCCTCAATACCTTCATCAGTTAAGAGTGAACACTAGCGCCGCTTCCTGCGGTGATGCTTTTAGAAACGATTGACACACAGATAACAAAATAAAACCCTCACCCACACCCCCTAATTTCTCTGGATAATCGTGTTAAACCTTTTTTAAGTCTCGAGAAGGGGCCAGTTGCGAGTCCAGAAACACGGAGCGAATGGTAAAGCGAGGAATTCGAGTTCTCTGCTTAGAGTAGGTCGGGCAGGCTAATGGGGATCGATCGGCTTAGCCCTCAGTGATAAATGTGAAGTGAAGTGGAGGAAAAGGACCGTCACTTTTGCAAACGTTTATTTAATTTCACCCTTACATTTAGATGCAGAAATATGTGTTCACACGCGTTAGCACTCACAAACACGAACTGAGAAAAGACGTTCAAGTAAGTAGACAGAGGGCGCGCACACACACAGACACACATACACACAAACACTCACACACACACACACACACACACACCCACACA